TCATCGCTTGCAGAATGATACATGGGGTACGCATCAAAGACGGCAAAGCAACTTATGTTTCTCGATATGTTAAGACATCACGTCTCAAGCAGGAAGAGTTTTTCGGAGGTGCCAAATTCATGAAAGTAAGCTACTTAATACAAAATTCTGCATGCTTTCTCATTGTGGGGCCAATCGATCCTTAGTGTCTTCTTGTAAACTTTCCAGATTGGGGACCTTAAGGGGTTCTTCGGATTGCTTATGGTCAATATGCAACAGCTGAGAACTAAACTCAAAGTATTGGACGGCTCTTATGGAATCGGAACTGGTTTGTTACTTCATCTTCTTTGTATTCTACTTTCGCTCCTAGTATCTCTAAATCTCACTCGCTTTTCCCATTCACCAGCTAATACAGCACTCGTGTATCACCATGGAAAACTTCTAGCATTACAGGAAGCAGATAAGCCGTGTAAGTTAGCCTCTTCGTTTTTCTTTTTCGGAGAATATTTGAACCTCATCTATTTAGAAGAACTGGATCTTTTGTTATCTTGGCCGTGTTTGTCTTCACCCACTTCCCCGTCTAAAATTTGATGTTAAAGAAAAGCAAGATAGGAAGTTTATGTTTCCTTTCTTAAAATTCAAAGCCACTCTCTTTTGGTTTGTAGATGTCGTCAAAGTTTTGGAAGATGGAGACCTTCAAACTCTTGGCATGATAGATTATGACAAGAGATTGACCCACTCTTTCACTGCTCACCCAAAAGTTGACCCAGTTACGGGTAAGTACTCTTCACTTTTTCCTGAGAAACAAGTTACTTTTTCTGCTGACATGATGACCCGTCATGGACTCTGCCCGCAGGTGAAATGTTTACATTCGGATATTCGCATACGCCACCTTATCTCACATACAGAGTGATCTCGAAAGATGGCATTATGCATGACCCGGTCCCAATTACTATACCTGAGCCAATCATGATGCATGATTTTGCTATTACTGAGGCTTATGCAATCTTCATGGATCTTCCTATGCACTTCAGGCCAAAGGTATGTTACTTATCAAGTTTGAAGGTTGCACAAGAAATTTTGCCTTCCATATACTTTTGTTGAAATGGTGGTGTTAGAGAAGATGATTATAAAGCAAATCAGGTTGCTTGTTTTGAATTTCCTTTGAGAATCATATAAGTTGCCTCCCATATACTTTTGTTGAAATGGTGTTCGAGAAGATGATTAGAAAGCAAATAAGGTTGCTTCTTTTGAATTTCCATTGAGAATCATAGAAATTGCCTCCCCTCTACATTAATGTGTCTTTGAAATTGATTCCAAGGAAATGGTTAAAGAGAAGAAAATGATATACTCATTTGATCCCACAAAAAAGGCTCGTTTTGGTGTTCTTCCACGCTATGCCAAGGATGAACTCATGATTAGATGGTTTGAGCTTCCCAACTGCTTTATATTCCACAACGGTGTGTGCTTATCCATGTCTGATCAAGTGCTCATATCTTTAAGTTTTATATTTTATACATACCCATCAAACTTCGTGAATGACTTCCTGTATCTAGCCAATGCTTGGGAAGAAGAGGATGAAGTCGTCCTCATCACTTGCCGCCTTGAGAATCCAGATCTTGACATGGTCAGCGGGAATGTGAAAGAAAAACTTGAAAACTTTGGCAACGAACTGTAAGAATCCTGACCTGGTACATCTGTTCTGCTCTCTTGTAAACCATGTACCCTTCTCAACTATTGCTTGCGCAGGTATGAAATGAGATTCAACATGAAAACGGGCTCAGCTTCTCAGAAAAAACTATCAGCATCTGCGGTGGATTTCCCCAGAATCAACGAGTGCTACACTGGAAAGTATGAGTTTACCATTGTCCTTGCGTGTTGATATGGATTGTGTCTCTAGCAAGGAAACCTCATCTTTTTTCTTCTTCTTTTGGTGCGTTTAGGAAACAGAGATATGTATATGGAACAATTCTGGACAGTATTGCAAAGATTACAGGAATTATCAAGTTTGATCTGCATGCAGAAGCTGAGACCGGCAAAAGAATGCTGGAAGTGGGAGGCAATATCAAAGGAATATATGAGCTGGGACAAGGCAGATATGGTTCAGAGGCTGTATATGTCCCGCGTGAGGCAGCGGAAGAAGATGACGGTTACTTGATATTCTTTGTCCATGATGAAAACACAGGGTAATTATTGCTCTCCTGTTAGTTCCTTATCAGTTGTCGCTTGTTTCTTCCTGTTAAAATAATATGTTGATTGAAAATGGGCAGGAAATCATGTGTGAATGTGATAGACGCAAAAACAATGTCGGCTGAGCCGGTGGCAGTGGTGGAGCTGCCACATAGGGTCCCATATGGCTTCCATGCCTTGTTTGTTACCGAGGTATTAAACCCTAAACCCATAAATTTCTACGCTTTACAAGCGATGCATCTCTAACCGCCAGTGGATCTGTCTTCACAGGAACAACTCCAGGAACAAACTCTTCTATAAGCCAATCTGTGTACATATATACTAGTCCGGAGATGTGGAAGCGAGGGGGGAAACCAGGATATTGATGTTACGGATATTAATAGTACAGACTATGGCATCTTGTATTAAGACCTACACATTCATTCTGCTACCTCGTCTCTCTTTACATAAATTTACATTTCATCCTTTCAATAGTCAACTACAATGGTCTGCGATTGCGGAGATTGGTGGCTTTGTCCTTAGTTCTTTAACATTCTCTAGATTTAGAGCCGTATCACCCACTCTCTGAGTTTAGCCAACGACAGTACTCACACCTGAAATCTTGTAGCAGGTCTGTTTTCTCTAATGAACAGAATGAAAGACCATTGTGAAACCTAAGGTAGAGGAGGGGAGGGATTGGGACATGTTGATCACCATATATAATTGTCTTAGCATTTTAGTATACAATAGGAGTGAGTGTTAAAGCACAGCCAAGCGAAAGTTGACTAGAGAAAAATTACATGTACAGAGAAGGACTGAACATGAGAGAGTGTAGTGTGAACATCTTCTTTTAGACTATTTTTGGGTTTTCACTACACTAAAACAAATTACTTAATGAGCATCGATATAAAAGCAAAAAAAGAGCAGCAGCTCATGCCAATCAATGGATGCTGGGATCACCAAAGACCTCGCTGTTGCAAACCGGGCAAACCTGCATTCCATGTATATAGAGTTTCACTCGAACTGAGGATGTAAAACATATCTGTAAGTAAGATCAAATCCAGCATACCTTGTTGATGCTTAGCCATTTGGAAATGCATTCGGAATGATACACGTGCTTGCACGGCAGATTCATTTGCCTCTCCCCTATCTTGTACTTGAGCTGGCATATCACACACCTGC